ACTAAGTGTCTCCATCTGTCAAACTAAGACAATGATGTTGATTTTTTTTTTGTAAGACACTTGAGGATCTGTTGACTAAAAAAAGTAGCTAATATTCTTGTATTTTCCAAGCATAAGAACAGCTATTTTAATTTCTATTTAATATTCCTCTCACTAAAAATTAATCTCAAAACACATATACTAAAATGGAGAGAATGCCTTTGATTTTTCTATTATTTATTTCCAGGTTTATTAGGTCATTAGACAAGTGGAATTTTGAGTGTTTTAACCAGGTTTTTTGCTAGTAATAAACACTGTTTGGCACTTAGTAGCAATGTCAAAGGAATAACCTTTTGTTGGTTTGACCGATACTTGTTGTTAATCACTTTGAGAGAATCTGTAAAAAGAATGCAGCTGTAACTATATAGTTTTGTTATAAGAAGTCTTTTATTTTGTCCCTTCTTTTAGTTAATGTATAACCTGAAAACAGTCTGTCTAGAGTCTTCCTAAAAAAAAAAAATGCTGCGTTGTTTTGGTGTATAGCTAATTTCAAAAGCCTCCACTTTACACAAATAGCATTTAATTGAAACACAAAGTCCATGAGATAACGTAAATAATATTTCTTTATAAAATTTCAGTTTAATCTTTCTAAAAGTAATATTTTTTAAAATTTTTCCTGGTTAAAAAAGAAAGGTAAGCCAACAATGAATGAGCATAGCTGAAGTAGGCATTTAAAATACACTAAGGAATAGATCTACTCAATTTTTCATGTAGAAGAATACCACAGATGTTATTTTTCCTATTCACTTCTTTTAAAACAAATTCAACTTCCTTGACAGTTTTCAATGTTGTAACATTTTTTGATATATTTCTTGGGGGCTAAATTAAAGTAATGAGAATTTTGCTCTGTTTAGCTGTTTACAAATATCACATGTGCCTTTACTACTAAAGCTCCTACAGTCAAGACGCTGCTATGTGAATGGTCCATGGTGAGAGCACCAAGGTGCCACCACAGGTAATTCTAGGGATCTTTGAAGAAACAACAAAAGGGTAAGAAAGTAATATAAAACCCAAAGCCTGGTGCCTATATAGAGAGAAAAATTTAGTCTCCACAGACAATACCAAGATGAACGGAACATTATTTAAGCTTAAAAATGTGAACCCTGAGAGGAAAAGGTAGTATAAGCAGTTTAAGGCTGACATCCATGCAATGCAGATATCAGGCTGTACAATACAGTGCTTTTGTTCAAACTAGAGAGGGAGAAATAGGGCTGGGTGAAACTTCTTGCTGAATCATGCGAAGAAAGAATCAGGCATTATTAAGAATAATTTTTTTTCTCCTTTTTTAGGTTTTGTTTCATCAGTCTTGTGGGCAAGCATGAGAGTATACTGATGGGAATGTTTATAAGAGTATGGAAAGATTTGTACATGGATGTCAGTCATCTATTACATTTTGGACCTCTTAGGAAATTTCAGGTCAACTTGGCAAAGGGGTATTCGACACAGAAGACAGAAATCTATGAGACAGCATAGGATTTGTGGTGCTGCTTTTCAGGGTAGTTTATTTTATGTCTTTGATCCATTTATGTTTTACCTTTAAGGAAAAGGATAAACAAATTTTTGTTTTGGAGAAGTCACTTTTAGTTATTTTGTCTTGTTTTTTATCACAGGCAAATTTGGGAAGCAGGCTTTATACATATTAAACTAAGCCAAGTTAACATGACAGCAAAGCTCAGAGAACCAGTTCAGGAATGTTTTGACCACATAGATCCACTTTTGTGGCTGAATTAGTTCAATGACACTGAAAAAGAGTTTATTGCTTTGACAATTTCGAGGTCCTTCTCCACCAACACAGGGGGTACCACTATGACAATATCCATTTTGTGGACTGTCACAATTTGAAGCTGCTCTGCTGTAGTGGCCTATGGATGTTGTAATTTCTTGGAACATTGGGATTGTCTTTCTCTCATGAGTATCAATGCAGATATACCCCAGTACCCTCTATTCCTCCTCTCTTGTTGTGTTGTTGCTTATACGGCATAGGTTAAATGAATGGAAATGAGAGCACTGTTGTTATGAGTTTGACGAATACAGACAATGAAGGCCTTGATGATGAAGAAGATGCAAAATTAAGTATATGGTGATGGCATATTTAAATGTGAAGTACTGTTAATTCCAGGGCAGTTTTGTCATGCACCCATAATGTCTTTACCTTTTAGCTCCCACTTTTTTTCATCTTATCCAATATACAAAAAACATTCATTGTAGTCTCCTCTGTTCAATACTTTTCAAATAATGAATGTTTATGAATATTTATCCTCCTACATCACAAAGAAAAGCATGTAGATATGAGTCCTAGCTTCCATAAAATCACAAGGTAACAATTAAATGTGTAATTATAAGATTTCAATATTTTTAAAGCAAACATGAATATTTAGTGATCTTATAGGTCACTTATGTGCACCTGCTGCTATCAAAACTGACAGATTATGGAGTGCTGCCAGTTACAAATTCTTTGATATAATTTTTTTCATACAGGTTACCAAAGG